TTTGAAACGGATAGAAGAAAGCATTAGGGGATTCCTAAGGGTTGATGAATGCACCAGGGCCTTAACCCATCCTATGTATTCCTGGATTTGCTTGGAGGTAGATGTTTCACAACCTTTACCTAGTAGGATTTGGGTGGGTAGTTCCAAGGATCATGGTTTTTGGCAAAGGATAAAATATGAGGGCAATCTGATTTATTACAATGGGTGCAGCCTCATAGGTCACTATGATGAGGCTTGTAGAAAGAAAATCAGGGGGCTATGAAGGATAATGGTAAGCAAGCTGATATAGGTGCTAGCATGGAGGATAGCTCGAAGGAGACTACTCATTCGGTTTAGGTAACAAGTAAAATACTAGTTAACGTTCCGAGCAAGGGGAGACTTTCCAAGGGTTCGGATATGATCCCCATAAGAACAATGGAGAGAGGAGAGCATAGCATGCAACATAAAAAATATTGTTACAGGAAACATTGAAGGGAGGTATGGGTTCTAGGACAGAGGCTGCGAGCATAGGTGCCAAGGCTATGATGGGGGAGGGTAAAATGAATCAAATTACAGATTCTGTCATGATAGTTAATAATAAATTTATAGTCTTGGAAGCGATAAATAAAATGGAATGTATTGAGTTAGAGACAATAGGAAAAATTAAGAAGCTTTCTGGGTCTGAACGAGAAAAGAACTCGATCCGAGCATGGGACTGGTGAGATACATCTTATGCCAGAGAATTTAGACAGCAAGTTTGATACTTGTACACAAGATGTGACAGTTAAAAAATGGAAGAAAAAGGATGAGTGTGTGGTGAGAATGGATATGTTGGAGGATCAGGATGGTAGGGGACAACTTGTATGAGAACACAGTATGCATTGAAGCAATTTGACCAAACAAAATGTGAATGTAGTTACTGTAGCACCAGGAGATACATCTATAGTAGATGGCAGGTTCAGTTTTTCGAAAGTGGATGATGAAAGTCTAAGGGCCACGGACAATAATCATTTTTTGAGTATTGCAACAGGATTGAGTGGAGTAATAGTGGGTCATCTAGGAGGCATAGGTAGACCTGTAGCTTTGCTTGGTACAAAGGGTAAAAAAGCTCAATTGCATGGGGAACAATCCCCGTTTGGCTAGAATTGTCATGCTGTAAGCATTCGGATAGTAGCAGATAGGAAGGAGCTGGGGCAGTATGGTGGATATAATAGCAATAATGTTTATTTGAAGCAAAATGTAGGGGTGGAAGAGCCTTTTGATATAGATTTAGAGGACAAAGAATCAGTAAGGTGGAAAGGTTCGGTTTTATGAAGTAGAGTGTGAATGGGAGACACATTACTTTCGTTGATTATCGATAGGAAGTTTGGTGGTTCAAGGGGCTGACTCGAAAAAAAGTAAAGAAAAATTTTAAGAAGTTTTAGAAATTAGCCAAAAACAGGAAACTCCAACTTCTAGAATGTGGCAAAAAGACAAGATCAGCTTTTAAAGCATTAATTATTACCTCTACATCAATTTAATCATGTCAAGTATTTTGTAAAATGTTAGAGGTGTTGGAAACACTGACATAATTAATTATATTAAAGTTTTGAAGAAACATTATATGTCGAAGTTTCTAGTTGTTATTGATCCTAAGTTGAGAAGGATAGAGTAGATAATATAGCTAAGTCTTTCTTTTCTTTTTCTCATATGCCACACCCACGTGTAATAGGTCAGTGTTGGAAACATGTGTATGCTCCCTTGTTAGGCGAGAGAGGGCCTACCAAGGGAGCATACACGTGGATGAGGCATGCTAGGAAAGGTTGCTACGTGGTTGAGGCGTGCTGAGGGAGGCTGTTGCATGGTTGGTGCTGCAGCAGGCCGGGGGTGTGGGCTAGTGGCGTGATGTGCTGTGGCTGAAGGGGCTGTGTGTGAGAGAGGAGGAGGCAGTAGGCAGGTGTTAGCTGGTGTGTAGAGGTTGGCAGCTAGGGTAAATTTTTGAGGAGGATGAATAGTAGCTGATGATTTTTGGGGAGAAAAGGTGTTTTTATACTAGGTTTTTAGAGTTTTTTAAAGCTAAAATTCATTTTGGTCCCTCATTTTTCAAACATATTTTATTTTGATTCTTTTCTCCTTTCTTTTTTAATTACACCCCCATTTGTATTTTTTTTACTCCATTTTCTTTTTTTTTTTTTTTTTTTTTTTTTTTTATAAAAAAAATTAGGTGCTAACAAATGCGAATGTATGCTGCAACTAGTGGTTAACTAATCAACCATATGAAGAGTTCGATCTTATACAGGAACAAGTTATCTCCTAGCAGGAAAGGCCTCCTCTCTTCATGGATAGGATTTTCTAATAGTAGTAGATGTTGACGTATTTGGGTATGCCTTTATTTAAAGGAAGATATCACATACAATATTTCACTAATTTAGAAATGAAAGTTAAAGACAAACTGGCTGGGTGAAAGGAAAGGGTGTTATCAACAGATAAGAAATTAACACTGAATTAGAATGTTTTATCCTTCATCCTTATATATACCATAGGTGTGCTTCTAATACCCAAACCACCATCTTAAGGCTCCAAAGCTATATATCTAATTTCTTTTGGAATAGTGGAGGAGAAGGCAGACATCACTAGGTTAACTAGCGTAAGATGTCTCTTCCCGTGTAAGAAGGTAGTTTAAGTAACAAAAACCTAAGAAAAGTCGTGAAAGCTATGAAAGGGAAACTTGCATGGACATACCTATCTAGTACATCATTATGGAGCTATTTCAGGTGGGATAAGCATGGAAAGCCTATTGAAGTATCTTCACTGAATAGTAGCAAAGGTTCTTTGGTTTGGAGATCTGTATTGCCATGTATAAAATTGCTACTAGATAGCTAAATCCGGATAGTAGGGGTTGAAACCTTTGGTTATGGAAGGATAAATGGACATTGTTGGACCTATCCACTCCTAAAACTAATATGGAGATCACACTTGCTCAATCGAAGAATGTGATCTGATGATATATGCCTCACTTCCCCTCCCAATCAGAGACGAACTGGATACATTCATTTGGACAATAGTGTGGTAGATATCTTATGCTACATGAATGTTAAATTAGGCAGATTCAACTCAAAAGCGTATCATGAGGATAACAGATTTTCTGGCCCAAATTTTGAATAGTGGAGAAGTCTATGGAATAAATAGATTCCTAGGAAAGTTGGAATTATGGTATGGAAGTTTATGCATAATGCTTTGGCTGCTGATACAAGCATTAAAACGTATGGAATTCCTTTACCCTCAAAATGCAGGTGCTGCAGTAGTGCCCAAGAAGAATCCAGAGATCACTTGTTCAATCAGAGTGAAGTTGCTAGCCATTTATTGTGATTCTTTGGTAACAATTTAGATGTAACTCCAGAAGCTGTATCGCTAAGGCAGTTGTCAACAAGGTGGCTGACCAAAAGCAATCTTTCCTCCTAGAAAGCATTCTCGTGCATGGTGGTTTTCAACCTTGTCATATGGTAATTGTGGTTAGCACGGAATAAGTCAGTTTTTGAAGATGAATTGATGAATGATATAAGCATTGAACATAAGGTGATCATATGGTTAATAGATCTTAATAGGCTGTTCAACCCGAGAGGCTCACCTTCATTCCATGACAGCATCTACCTAAAAGCTTTAGGGAATTTAGAAAGCATTCTCGTGCATGGTGGTTTTCAACCTTGTCATATGGGAATTGTGGTTTGCACGGAATAAGTCAGTTTTTGAAGATGAGTTGATGAATGCTATAAGCATTAAACATAAGGTGATCATATGGTTAATAGATCTTAATAGGCTGTTCAACCCGAAAGGCTCACCTTCATTCCATGACTGCATCTGCCTAAAAGCTTTGGGGAATTTAGATTCACACTTCCATCACAATCAGGGGAAGATGGATAAGATGGATTTCCCCCTCTCCAGGCACCCTGAAACTGAATGTGGATGGTGCCTCAATGGGAAACATGTGCAGTGGGGGAGGCATTCTTCATAATGAGCATAGGAAGACGCTACTGGCATTCTCTAGTTTCGTTAGGACTAGAACCAACAATAAGGGTGAAATTTTGACTATATGGGAGGGTCTCAAGTTATGCAAACTTCACAATCTTCATCCTACAATAATAAAGGCTGACTCCTCTCTTGCTCTGGGTGTTCTAGTTCCGTCATAAACTTCCATTAGCATCTAACTTATATTCTACGGGATTGTTAAGTAGACAAGATTCTAGGTACAATCTTTCAACATGTTCACTGGGAAGGGAATAATGTTGCCGTCAGACTTGCAGCGTGGGCCTTTCAACATACCTCCTAACAAATTGCATTCACGATATCTGAGCTCCCAATCAGTTGTATTCAATCTATATGGGATGATGCTCAAGGTGTCTTCTTCTTTCGGCTAAATAGGGGAACATGAAGAAGATGATTTTCTGGTATAGGACTTTACAAAATGCAATTCATGTTTTGCATCAGATTTGTTCAGTATAAGTTGACGGTAACTGCCTACTTTGAACTTGGCTTTTGAGTTCTATCATTATGGGAATGTTGCCAATTATGGGGTTGTAGTCGTTCTATGCATGTGCCATAGGCATAACAACTTTTGAGTAAATAGTGAGCTTGTTTTTCCTCTTTTTCAAAAGTATAGAAGTATCCCCTATATTATGTCTCTCTAGCTTTCAGGATTAATTTCCGGTATCCTTTCAGAGATTTTGGCTTCCTTACCTTTTCAGTATGTTAGGTCAAGCTGGATTGTTCTCTTTTATTATTCAGTTTTTAATCAATATACTCTCAGGGTACTGCCCGTGTTTCTAAAGAAAAAAAAAAATGTTGCAAACATTAAACAAATTGGTTGAATTATAAATCATCAAACTTTATATAAAATATTCAGATTTTAAAAACTAAAGTTATAATACAATAAATATTCATTAATAAAAAAATTAATTAATTAATATTTTGTTTTAAAGAAGTTAAATAGCATAAGCATAGCGAGAACATCAACTAGGGTAATAGGTTTGTGGTCTTTAACTCTTATGGCGACGTGCCTTCGCTACTCATCGCTCTCTCGCGCTCTCCTCCTTCCTTATCTCCAACGCCGAACAGAAACCTTATGCGAGCCCATCAGAATCGTCTGGTTCAGTTCAACCTTGAACCAGCCCAAACCTCCTTCAGTTACAGTTCGCAGTCAGGCCAAGCGTGGATCCTTTTTCAAACAAGACCAACTAGGAGCAACTTGTAAGCAAAAAAATAAAAAATAAAATAAAAATTTAATGATGATAAATTTTTATTTTTATGCTGGTATTCATAGAATTGAATTAAATTGATTGTTACTAGCAAGTGATCTTGAATTCGAGGCACCATTAAAAATCGTGGAATATCCAGATCCTATACTCCGAGCCAAAAACAAGCGAATCCATACTTTTGATGAGAATTTAAAGAAATTAGTTGATGAAATGTTCGATGTCATGTACAAGTAAGAACCCAGTTATTGTTATTGTTATTATTATTTGAAAGTTTTGTTTTATTTGTTATTTATTCTTGTCAAATGTTCATTAAGGGGAAAAAAAAGAAAAAGAAAATGCTCGCCTAATTTATAATTAGATGCTTATAGAAATATTTTATTTATTTATTTACAGTTTTGTGAACAAATACTTGTTGCCTTGCTTTTGAACAGAACTGATGGTATTGGGCTCTCGGCACCGCAGGTGGGAATGAATGTTCAACTTATGGTATTTAATCCGGCTGGTGAGCGTGGTGAAGGAGACGAAATTGTTCTTGTTAATCCCAGAGTTAACAAGTATTCGAAGAAAACTGTGCTCTTTAATGAAGGCTGCCTATCCTTTCCTGGGATATATGCAGATGTACAGGTACTGATGTTTTGCTTATAAGTTCAAACTGAAGTATTGAGTAGTATAAGATAAAAATTGGCTACATTCAGTGTTTAGTAATGGTATTTGTTGAAGAAGTTGTGACACGAATATGTGATGAATAGACACAGTGTTTCAGTTGTAATTAAATATGACTTCATGACTTTTGTTTTCCTAACGTGTATGTTCATGATAGATTCCTGTGACTGCTCGAAAAATATTTAGGTACAAGTTAACTTTCTTTTGATATGTTATAATTCCTAGATATATTGTGCTGAAAGTTCAGTTGCTTTTTTTTTTTTTCTGGACCTCTGAGAAACATTTTGAGACTTTGTTGATGCGTTCTATTTTTTTCTACTTAACATTTTCATCTTTATGGGAAGTCATTTGCCTTACTTGTGTGCTTATCTGAGCCGAATCAACAAAGAACGTGAGAAAGCCTTTTGATTTATGAAATTTTAGCTAACAATGACATTCTTCATAAAGACTTGAATACCCTTTATTTCATGTCATATCTATGCTTTCAGAGACCAGAATCCGTAAAGATTGATGCAAGGGACATTAATGGTGCAAGGTTTACTGTCAACTTGTCTGATCTTCCTGCACGGGTTTTCCAGCATGAATTCGACCATTTGCAGGTCTTTTCTTCTATAACATTCTATTCTTTTTTTTTTTTTTAAATGACAAAAGATCATATATGAGGATTTCATTTGCAAGTTTTACAAACGAGCTTGAGTTGTAGGATATTTGTTAGTAAACATGAAGTTACCTATGGATCTTAGAGATATGCTTTATCCAAAATGTAGACAAGCATTTTGTCATGCGCATGTGAGCATGTATTTCTGAATTAGAAGTGAAATTCACGAGGTTAGGCATAAATGCTAGACCAGTTTTCTTTTCATTTGATAAAGAATGATCTGTTCAGGTCTAGCTTTATTTTACAGCTATTCCTGTTATATATATTTATGGAAAAAATTGTTTTATGCTTATAGTGTTCTCAAGAAATTTTATTTTTAGCCTTTATTCCTCAAAACTTTGTATGGATCCTAACACAACATTGCATGTAAGCCAGAATTACGACAAACCTTTGGCGGATTTGCTTGTTGAAGGTCCTGTAATACTGGAGACGTCTTGCCCAGCACAGGCATATAGTTTTGTAGTTGAATTAACAGTGCACTTAGGTCCCCCTTTTTTTTACCCTCCCTTAAGAAATATTTTGTTAGAAAAGTAAGAATATGCAGATACACAAATGAGAGTAAGACATTCACCACTGTAGGAGTAGAAATAAGTCAAAACACCTAGGCATTTGAGTCCAGGTGCATATTTGCTAAAGAGAATCGTCTATGACCCTTGATGCTGTAGTCAGAAATGAGGAAAAAACAAACAAAACTTTTTATATCACAATGATCACCTAAAGGAAAGGAAAGCTCAGCAAAAATTCTTGAATTTCTTTCCTTATTCTCCACCCAACTTCGAAGATGCCCAACTTCACTGAATCTTATATAACTTGCCCACTGATAACATCCCGTAAACATCAATAAGAGATCCAGATCCTTCACAGAAATTGGATTCACTCATGACTGCAAGAAATCTTGGGGAACTTGCTATTTTAATATTATTGTGTTTCGTGCTTGAAAAATGTCAAGTGGCAAGCCTTCTTACAAAGATTTCTCATGGTCTTGCAGGGGATCCTGTTCTTTGATAGAATGACTGAAGAAGTTATTGACAGTATTCGGGCAGGGCTACAGGTGAGTAAACATGCCAAAACTAATTTGTTTTCCAGTAACCTTGAGAAGAGCTTTCCCCTTTTCTTCTATAAGAAATATTTATCCTGAGTCAATGCAACCAAGGTTGTTCATGATTACATGGGGAATTCTTCTTCTTCTTCCTCTTTTTTTTTAAAAAATTTTTAAAATTTTTATTATTCTGGTCTGAATTATAACCATATCAGGAGAAATGCTATGAGCAATTGCAAATACTAATGTCCATATATGTTGGTGGTGCACTAGTATTGTGGTCAGAACATCAGGTAGTTGCAAACAAGCATTTATGGTAAATCAAACATCATGTGTGTTTTCTTTCCTTGATTTAATTACAGGACATAGGAGTCTGATTCATTTGAGAGTTATAGAGACTAGTGATTTTAAACCTATATGTCTTAAAGATAGTTTGTTTAGGAATTCCTCCGTTTTCCAAATAAAGGGACAAAAAAGCCTGTGCTCTGTGAAAGAACATTTATTGGCTTTAAAAATGAGTGTAGGGGTTGCTATATGTCGTCTCATATTTTAACCCTCAATTTACAAATGTTGTATGATAATTATGTATAAGTTGATGGACATAAGGAGAAAGGTTGCTGGTTTTCAAAAAATTATTATTATTATTATTCTGTTGCTTGAGACAATGGAAAGCATGCCTGTATACAATTGCCTTTGATAGTATCGAGTGTCATGCTCACTATCTAGTTAGTATGGCAATAGTCCCTCAATCAATTATCCAAATCTGACGAGGGAGACTGATCAAATTGCTGCTGGACTTCTTTGACACCCAGATAACTATATTTTCAGGTGCTGCAGCAAGCCTTGGCATTTTCCCACCCATGTCTAAGTACAAAAGTCTTAACTTCTATTGTGATCATATTCAAAATCACTTCTGTTTGAATTTCTGCTCTATTTATTCTTCTGCATGGCTGTTCGCTGTAGAAATGCTAAATGCATTTATATGATTGCCAGCTTTGCATTTGACGGAGTGGACAACATACTTTCTTAATCCTGATCTAATTTTAATAGGCCTTGGAAAAGAAGTACGAGGATAAGACTGGATTCCCCAGCCCTGAAAGAATAGAAACACGCAGATTGAAGAAGGTCGCTGAAGGTTTTGGAAAATCATGAATTTAGACATGGGCTTCTGTTTACTGCATCAGGTATTATGGAAAAGATTATATAGACATGCGTCTACCCACGGACACACATGTTTACAGTTGGTCTAGTTTTCTACACTGCAACCTCCCCTGGATTCTTCTCTTTTACTAACATGCGTTGCTATAACAGATGAAATTTAGGCTGTTGCTACACATTTTATCATATATGCCTGCGCAATTGCTGAGCAAAAGCAGATTTTGTACACAAGAACCGCATACTACAATGGCATGAAGATGGCTATAGATGGTTGGCTTACAAGTTATTAACAGGATAGAGATTTGCATTGCACGCACCATTTAGCAATCAATGGCGTTTGTGATTTCGTAGCTTGTATTGCTTACTGGGATTATCATCCCATCTGTCTACATACAAATCATCTAATTTATTGATGCAGCTACTTTTCTATTCGTGATGTGGGTGGCACCTCTCTCTCTATCTGACCTGGTGTTTGGAAGGGGAAAAAAAATAGAAAGCATAAATTATAGTAGGATAATGGATGAAATTAAGATAAAATGGAAGTTGAAACAATATAGTAGAGTTTAGGGTTCATGAGAAACCCTAATAAAATAAAACCTAATTATTATGTCAAATGCTAATTACATGATAGGTAAACTATGAGAAATTTTATAATACACAAGAAGTAACTAGTAGCACGTGTAGTAATTACTTTATAAATTCATTTTGAAAAGAGAGAGAGATAGATTATATTATATTTGGATTAACTAAAAGTAATAAAAAGATTTTTATGTTCGTTTAATTTAATTTTTTTTTAATTTTTAATTTTTTTTAAGTGTTTATCTCTCTTTTCAAAATGGATCCATGGAGTAATTATTGTAAATATCATTAATTATTCTTTTCGTATTATAAAAATTTCTCATAAAATGCTAGAGCTCCATTTAATATAAGGAATGTTAAATTAATTAAGAAAACCAAACTAATAAGGAAATTATAAGAAGCTCCTGCATCATTCTTTAGTTTAGCTACTCCCATGTACTTTTCAATGACGACATCATTATGGATACCACTCTATCATTTTTGTCTTTGTTGCTGCCATAATTATCATTGTAGTAAATATCATAGATTGGTGGAGAATTCAAACCTACATCTGCTCCTCTCAAAAATTTATCGTCCCTCTTCAACACTTTTTCGTCCATTGAAGTGCAGAGTTTTTCAATACTCCCAATCAACCTTGCACCATATGATTTACGGCTCCGATATCATGAAAGGCGTTTTTAATATGTTCTCGTTTGTCTAGAGGTCGTGATCACTTTTTCGAGTCTCTATATAGAAATCGTATCAGTTCCTCTTGTTGCAAGAAACCTTCAATTACACAATTTATCTCAACTAAAATTATTTATGTATCTTGATTTCTCCGTCTGCAAGGCTACAACCCCAACACTTCCTATCGTAGTAAAAAAGAGTAAAATAGTTGCTAAAATTAAGATAGAATTGAAGTGGAAACAAAATGACAGAATTTGGGAGTCATAAGAAACCTCTAAACCCTAATAACATGAACACATGACAATTGAAACTCCAATTAGTATACGAACTCCTAAATTAAATAAGAAAATCAAAACTAGTAATTAAATTATTAGAAAGCCCATGCATCATTATCTTTCATTTTTTTCCATTTTCCTGGCAAGTGTTTGCACACTAATCTTCTACGGTTTTGGTTTGATAACAAACAGTGTTGCTGGTCGAGAGATAATTAAAAGCTTGTTTTCTTGAATTGGGTTTCTTATTCTGAGTTTGGTTCTTCTTTTTGTAATAATGGTCCTTCTATAATTCCAAATTATCTTTTATCTTTTTTTCTTTTTTATTACCCTTATTCGGGTAGAGTTAAAATTATTATCCTTCGAAAGTGATTCACAAGTAGCAAGATTGATTGAAATCAGAGACCCCGGTAGTGTTGGATGGTCAAATTTGAGGTGGTTTTGGGTGCTTTGTTGAGTGGTTATATGCGGCACACCAATACTTTTACCATACTTCACTGTATATTTGGTTAGATGTAGTAAATTATAAAATGTAATGCCTTTTTTTTCCAACACTATAATGTTGTTAGCAACAATTTTTTACCCATATTATTCATGAATTTCTCCAAAATAATAACAATAATATGAAGGACAAAAGACTAGAAGAAGAAGAAGAAGGAGATAAATAGAAAAATAAGGATTTTTCCCAAAACCTTAACAATCCTACTATTAAACCTCTCTTCTTCTCTCACCTAGAGGGGGGGGGTTGAGGATGTTCATTTTTTTCACACCAAAAACTTTGAAACAACCATCTTCTCCGAAAAAGCATCAAAACAAAACCTTTGAAGATCATCATTCTCCACTTATTCTCTCTAGGGGAGAGTGATCTTTTCAGCCAAAGAGAAGCAAGTTGCCGACTGCGAAAAGGGGAGAAAAAGCCAATCAACACCTAAGTAAACCTAAAATCTGTTGGATCCTCCAAACTTGTTAGACCAAACAACGGATTTCCTTTCAAATCAACCGCTATTCGACCAACACCACTACTAACGACTACCATAAACCCGAAACTAAACCTCGAATCGGCCTTTCCTAACTAGTTTACATGGTAAAAAATGATGGAGAAGGCCGGAAAACAAGAGAGAAGAGGAGTTACTCGACCCATTTGTGAACCTAGCTAAATTGCTTTTTTTTCCTAACAAAATCAATCAACGTCACCGATAAAGAAGCATTCCTCACCCGCTTAAAAGTTGATTCCCTTTAAAATTCTAACAAAATATCTCAAGTCTTAACTAGTTTTCAAAACCCGTATGTACGATGCAATCTAGATTAAATCGGACCACATAACAATTGGACAACATGCATCATATAGAGGTGTAAAATAAAATAAAAATTTTCCTCCATAGAAGGCTCCCAAGATCAAGCTATTAAATCAACTAATCATACATACATGAATTAAAAGTGTGAGCAAAAAATTACCTCTTATAGCATAGATTTAGTCTTTGCGAGAAAAATGAGTTGTCCAAGTGTTTGGCCTCTATCGATAATTCACGCAACTAAAACACCTTCAAAGGAAGCCATAAAAATCACGAGTCCTTGCTCCAATCCTTTTGTGTAGTTGATTTGTTTTTTAAGGAAATCGGTTAGGGTTTTTTATGGCAACTTAGGCTTTTTAAAAAGGGATATGACAACTTCGACTTTAGGAAAGAAACACTTTCTCTTTCTCTTTTTTTTTCTCCTTTTGCCATGTATGTGTGTGGTAATCTTCCCCTCTTTTTCACCTCTCTCCCTATTATTTATTTAGGAGGTGGCATCCTTATCCTCCTAGGACAACGAGTTGCAATGTGAGTGGGTGACAAATGCATAATTAACATGATTTTTGTATTCTTTTATATTTAACTTTCTAGTATTTATTGTACTATATTTAGAAAATTAAGATAAAGATAATGATTTTGAGTTTTATAGAAATTTTTTTGAATTGAAGTAAAAAACCCATGCCAAAAGCTAGGAGAAGCTAAAAGCCATCAACGAAGCTTAAGAAGACACACGGCTATGTGTTATACAAGAAGAAATAGATATTGGCCATGTGAAACAAAGAAGAAAATCGTGTGTACGTTTAATATGATTAACTTAGACTTTCCGGACTTTTCGTAGGTTTTCCAAAGCCTTAGAGTTAGATTTAGAAGAAGTGATCTTTAAAGACTTTGTAGAGGACATCTCAATATTTTCAAAATTATGTAGTGGATCAAAATCCTAGTTCGTTTGGGCCTCCAAATAATATTTCATATTCTAGTCTAGAAAACCGATCCGAATCCTATTTGGAGTCTAGATCGATTTTAGAGTTTAATTCATATCAAGAGTTTCAAAACTCCAACTGATGTAATGCTAAGCCCATAAAATAAATAAGAGGAATAGCTACAAGTCTTATGAAGGTCTTAAGTCCAAACTATATCGTTATCATAGAGGAATTCAACTTGCATCTGTGGAATCTTAAGGTCTAAGCGGAAAGATTGCGTTAGTATCGATATTTCACTCATAACTTAATCTGTAGATATCCAATTGATGTAATCCTTAATGACTTGGAAAGATAAAAAAGAGGAACATAACTTACATGAATAAAAACCCTAATTTGGTATTTATCAAGTTCATTTAACTCGATTATTCGGATATACAAAATGAAGTACAAATTCCATATAAGCGAAGCTTTTGACACATATGAAGGCAAAAAATCACATGGGTAGAAGTTTTTGGCACATGATGAAGGTAAAATGGCATACGGTCGTATCCTTTAGTCAAACAAGCCCTAAATCATAACAAACAAGCCATGTGAGGCTATCGTGTGTATGTTGTAACCCTAACTTTTGCTATAAATAGAGAAGTTAGGGTCTCACTTTAATTATTTTCTCATTCTAGGGGATCCCACTTGTTAGTAGCCACCATTCATAGAAATTCTCTTTTTGTAATTCATTATAAGAAACTAAACTCTATTTTGTATTGAATCTAGTTGAAGCTTTTGGTTAATCATTATGAGATTACGAGTTTTATTTCTAACTTATCTTGTTTAGATATTTTATGTTTTTCTACATGATTGGTTCATACTTGTATGATTAAATTAATTAGAGTGCATGGTAGTTGTTTAACCATATTAACTTATTGCTATCTAAGTATTTTTATTTGTGTAATTGCTTTTCTAAACTTGCCTTTGGTAATAACTAAAGGTTGATGATTATTTTTCATATTTTCGTTCAATTTCTTGTAAAACATGGAACTAGGTTGTATCTTTTCTAGGGTTTAGGAAGGTGACTTAGCTTCACTTGTCTTTATCTATTTAATGTCGTTATTGGGTTAAATCTATCTAGCACTTAGTGGGTTGTTCAATAGCTAAGGAATTAATTGGGTATTGTGTATTCGATTAATAACTAAGTAAAGAAAGACTGGGGTCAACGTGCATGTTGTTATCTTATGATGAATATTCATGTTTAAGATAATTTAATTATTTAA